TTTTATTAATACAACATATAAAAAAGTATGAATAATGATGTGTGGAAATATATTTTCATATTGTTCACATTTTCCTAATTTTTTAATATATTGACGATCTAGAACCGCAATATTATTTTACGCTATATAGGAATAATTATAATTTCTCGGTATTGTTATAAAATTTCATATAATATTGATGTTTTTTAATTTTATTAACATTATTAATATTGAAGTTAAACATATATATGACAATTAAAAAGCAATAATCACATTATTGATATAGTTTATGATAATATTATCTATTTATTACTTCTTACAATCTATTGCTAAAAATAATTGATTGTTACTTATTACTACAGCAGTTTTTATTGTTATACTTTCAACTCATTCCGCAGTCTTATATTAGATTGAACATCTCCAATCATTTTTTCAATTAATTTTAACAACCGTTTATCTCTATAAAACATACGCGTTTTTTAATTCTTATGTATGAGAATGCGAGTTTATATTTCATGCGTTTCTTTCTGACTCATTCACATTAATAGATTCGTCCTCCTGTTTAAAGATGAGAATTTTATGAAAGATAACAAGTGTGCCCTTTTTGCTTAATATCACGAGGATTACATATGCCTAATGACTAATGGCTGTAAGTCGATCGATTCACTCAAATATACGTCATAAATCATGCAGATTTCGATACTTTTCGAGTTTGTATAGAAAAATTATGGATTGGAAATTCATATGTTGCTTTTGAAAAACCGTCTATCACGAAGGGATAAAGCTGATGAATCTCGCTCTTCTTGTTGGCAAAATCTTCATCCGTACACCGTGGCAAAATAAACGGCAGTCTGAAAAATAAATAAGCAAAAATCTATTTAATGTAATATAATTTATTTCTTATATTCTCTTATTATAATATGTCTTAATGTTAATATTATGCTCTTATTGTATTACTGTATTACTTGTATTGCTTCTTTCTCGTGTTATCGTAAAAAGATGCATGAAAAATATAGTCATTTATAAAGACTGCCATTATTTATTCGCTATATTCTTAGTCTTACCTTGACGGTACGCATCTTTGTATCTCATATATTATAGTATTTACGCGCTTGTCCATTCCTGAAAGACGCATCGGTGAATGTGCGTAGAATTTTGTATTATTTTTCGATAGCTCGCGCCTTTTTTTCTCTGACAATGTTTTTGTCAGACTTCGAAGATTTTCTTTGGTTTTATCATAACTGAAATCAAAATTTCACATTGGATATAAATATGTTATTAAAAAAAAAAAAAAAAAAAAAAAAAAAAAAAAAAAAAAAAAAAACTGGCGAAAGAGAATTTTTCTCAATTATAAGTTCTGTCACAAATCTAATAATAAAATTTTCCTTAAGGCAAACGGAATTGGGAGATCCTTACTTGGAATTATTAATTTTGAATATTAATAACTAATCTTCTCGATAACATATTAAAATCCTGAAATATTAGCTATAAAAATAAAACTATATTTGTAATTTATGATATTGAAAATTTTATCATATATTTAGTTTCTAAAATATAATTTCAGGGGATGTAATAATGATATTTCTTTGAAGATTTCTCTGATATTTCTCTTACCTGTTGAATTTACATGAATCCAGATTCGGCGGTATATATACACATGTATAAGGTGTAATCGATACGACTGCATCTTCTGTCGAATTTGCGCTTTTTTTCATTATACTATTATTTTTAACAATCTCTTCGTTATCTAAATTGATAACTGGGTACGCATTTCCCATTATGACAAATAACTTCAAAGTAAAGAGAAATAAAAACGATTCCGACGAAATGCTCCTCATGGTTAGGTCAAAAGTCCTCAGCTGCGTAAATACACACGTTGCAATACTGAAAAATCGTATAAAATGTTTTACCATGATTTATTACAAGTGTTTTATGGAATTTCGCAATATATAAATTGCATGTAGCAACGGATTTAATATCAATGTTAATATCAATATTTAATATCTAAAATCCTATCGTATCACTCTCTAGTTGACCCTAATAAATAATCTGCAATGTGCACATATTTCCAGTTAATGCGTAGCTGTTGTTATCTATATAATTTGTAATCGCTGTTCATTACAAAAGAGATGTTGAAGAGCATCCATGTAAAAACGATTTCAAATATTCGCTCAGAGCGAGATTTTGCGTCACATAACTCATCGAGTATAATAAATACCCCTATTGCATTTTACAATGAATTATTAATTCCGACAATTAAACTGCACGTCGACGCATCGCGTCCCGATTAAAACGAAAATATGCTGGACGAAACTCGCTGATTCGAATAATTGCGAAGTGTTAGAATAGAAATAGAACTGTTAACAATGATAAATGTCTGTTATCTCGTGCAAACTACTGCGCAGCGCAGAGTCGATTTCAAGGAAATATACGGAAAACAAAGTGATCCGTTGTCTAGCGATCAAGAAACGCGAAAGTTTTACACGGAAAAAAAGACACATCCTTTCTCTGCTATTTTTGTTTATATCCTGTTTGCTTTATAATACGGTCTCTTTTATTACATCCTATCATTTTTATATTGTGCAATCGAAAATTATTATTGCAAACTGTTCGCTAGTAGAAGACAATGCGACTGTGTTCGATGAAAATTGCAATTACGCAGGTTGGATAAGTGCTAGGAACTTCTTCAAGCGCATTTAAGAAGATGCACATTTCGACGCTTTTTATAACGTTATTAAAAATTTATATTTAAATGCAAATAATGCAATTTACTTATGTAAATCGTAAGACGGATTTAATAGAAAATTCATATTTTATGCAATTATTTTTGTATTTCTGGAGTTAGCATCTAAAATCTAAAATCTAAAGTAAAGTAAAATAAAAATAAAGTAAAATCTAAAATATTAAGAATAAGTAAAAAATATGCAAGAAAAATACATGTAAATTATTATATGTATTGTATTATAGAAATATATGCTAATAATCTTAAATTTTCCAATGTTTTGTAAAATATTTCTTGCATGATATATTAATAACGTTATAAATGTAAAACTTATCTTTGAGGAATTGTTTCACCATAAATAGTTTATTATATAATTATTAAACATACATTGTTTCACATATAAAATCACTTCATAGATTTCTGAAAAGTTTTTGAATGTTCGTTCTGCTTGTCAACGCTATGCACGTAATGTCAATAGATATAATGGCTCGTATTTGAAGAGATATCGGAATAAGAATTGCGAAAACCGCATCTAGAGGGAGAAAGGGGTGATGAGCGCAAAATGTAATCAATAACAGCATTGTTCCATCGCGTTAGACACTTGTAGATATAGCATAATCATTCTATTAATTAGTTTGCGCGGCTCTTACGATCCTTGCTTCCTGCATTTGCGTGGCGCGAATGCCGCTATCATGGATCCTTCGTTCGTAATATTCCTATTAAAATTTTTTATCTACAAAAATCTATCACGCTAATCTCACAAATTTTATAAAAGTTCCCTACCTTTTCAATCCCTCGGGAATATTTATAGTCAACGATGTAGCGATCGCACAATCTCGCGACGGTATGACGGTTGACGCAGAAAGCACGATTGACGTTATTAATTATACGTCTCACCCGATTGTTCTTTAATTACGGGAGATATTTTTCGAGGGGGTAATTCCGCAACGACGATGTAAAATCGACGAGGACGACGACCATTGAACGGACGTCTTGTATAGACGTGAGCAATGTCCGCTTCTATTTCACGATATCCTTCAAGGATATTATCCGAACAACAACCTCGTGTTGGCAATCGTGCAAATCGTCGACGAAGAAGGAAGGAAAACTTCATTGCTATGACTTGCTGGCGTTAGAACACTAAAAAAGAACTCTTTACTAGATTCTACTACATTCGTCATTATACTATTCCGTCGACGCGACGCGACGTAAATGTGCATCCGCGAAGGCAACACCCCTGCGTCAACCCCGCGTAAAATAAACTGCTATATCGATAAAAGCCAAACGAATGAAGTAGAGCGACGGCGAACTCAATGTCTCGCTCCGACTCTTCTCTCCCTTAATTTGAATAATAATCTCATCATCCCTATGATTTAGTCGAAACGCCGCCTCTGCGTGTACGCCACGCCGAGGAATTGTCAGCATTTAATCACGCTAACATCTGACAGCAATTCGTCACTCTACGCGTTATACAGATATGGGCATGAGAGCGCATTTAGCTACGTGTTCGCTTAGAAATTTCGCCGTGGAAACGCGTGCCGTATAGGACTTTCGCGCTTTACTGACGGATCACGCTACGTCGACTTATATATGTACTTGTCACCGTATCACGCCAACAGTAACGAAACACTGGGACTGCGAGTAATTAACGATGTTGCAATCATAATGAATATCTGTAATATCGTAATGAAGATTGTAACCAGTAAAATATGACTGGGTGTTCGTAAGTAATACATTTATTTATTTATCGAACCTGTGAATTATGTCATGATATTATGTCTGAATTTCATATTTATTCTACGTTTAATTTCTTGTCGAGCAATATAAATGATAACCTCTGCAGGAATTTTTGTTTGGCAAAAATCAATTAAACATATATTTATCACAAGAATACGTAGATAAAAGAACTTCAAAAAAAAGTTCACTTTTTAAATTTCTTTTATCGTATTCTCGTTTGATAAGTTTATTACTATATATTTCATATCCATATAGGATACGTAGATAGAAACGCAATTTTTTTTTTTTTTTTTTAAGAGAATAGGTTTTTATATGAATATTATGGTGTGTTCAAAATACAATCAAGGACTAACTCATTTAGCTGTCAATTAGTTATTTGATATTTAAAAAATTTTGTTTTATATCTTTAAAGGAGCTTAATTTTAATGAACAATTTTACGCGAGCATAGTATTTTAGCTTTTTATAATTAATTTTGATATCTAAAAAATGATCCCTTAATTGGCGTATGTCTATATAAGATGAAACTTCCACGGCCAAGTATGGTAAAAATATATAAACTAAAATAAATATATTACTAGCGATAAAAGAATTTAGGAGAACTAGCGATACTAGCATAGATTATAAACTGCGCTATTAACGATAACCGAACGGGATTCAATCTTTTAAGAGGAATGAGACGGGTTATCACTGTTTGATATACTATTATAAATGCGTTCACGCATCATTAAAATATACCCGCGATCGTCTAAACTGCGTCCAAATATTACGTTCCATTAATTAATCAGTGTCCCCAAAAGTTGAACACCGAATATGCAGACAAGCATTTCAGATTCTATCTTGAACCTCGATCTTTCATATCTAGGATGGACAAACTTTGCGCGTTTTGGGCAAGAGAGTACTGTAATTTTTGTGTCAAACACAGATGATAAAGAAACTATTGAGTCCATCCGTTAGCATCCAAATAAACAAATTTCTGGCGCAGCAATTTATTTATTTGCTTATTTATTAGTATCGTTCTTGTGATTCAAAAATGTGCATTATTAGGAAAAAAAGGAGAACAAACAAACAGATTTTCTGGAAATATCATGAAAAATGATGGTTCTTTTGCACAGTACTTTGACAAATAATGACAAATCTAGCAAGAAAACCAAGGACTTACCTTGTGAATCTTCGAATTATTCTTCGAGGAAGAGACGCCCCTCATATAATTTTGCGATTAACTTCTAGCGTGCAGAGCGGTTTTCTGAAAATTTTTGCAAAGTAATGACGTTTCTCGCGAAGTCGAATTATATGCCTTGAACGATATCAGCTGTTCTCTCGTGGATCGCGACACAAAGAAGCGATTTTGGATCGCTCTGAGAAGAAACGAACAAGATTTTTTTTTAAGTACGATCGATTTCTGAGGATCGATAAAATATTGTAATAATCGTGGGTGACAAGACCGCGCGTAAACGGATATGCGTGTATCGAGGGAAGGCAGAAGGATGTCTCGGCCGATGGATGTCAGGGAAGGCGAATGTGAAATGCGAGCAGCGGACGGAGACGAGAGCCGAAGGAGACGACGAGGAGCACGTATAGAGCGTCCGGATTGACGTCGGCCGTGTTACTATGGCAGGAGAACTCGCGATATGTGTCTGTCGAAAGAGATCAAAACAACTAGTTTCAGGTCCCTACCACAAAGTTCTTGCCGCTTCTCTTGCCACGACTACGTCACGACGGCCACGAAGTCTCTCGTCGAAGGAATCGATGTCGCCGCCGGGGGTGTCAAGGAGACACAGGAATCGAGATTCGCGCCTCAAGTCGGGTGAAGTTACTCGAAATGTTCTTGCGATCGCTGCAATGCTTCTGTGCGTCCGTCATGTGCCGATTAAGTATAATTGCGCGATTTTTATATAGACAAGGCGTTAGAGGGGGGAAAATTAAATAGATTGTGATCGCGTATACTTCTGCGGCTGGTCGATTAATGGCATTATTTTATTTTTACGTTATCGTGAACTAAAAGAGAGACGAATAATAACGGACGCGGTAAATTTCCTCATGGTGTTTATAATGTATATGAAAAAAATGAGAGAGAGAGAGAATCTGAAACACAGAGCAATTTAAGTGAGTATTCCCGATACTCGATTATAAATAGTTATTATTTTTTGAATATATTTTAAAAAATAAAATAGCTATGTTATAATAGCACAATTTTTTTCTATTACGAGTAATGACGAGCATAAGCACGAATATTAATAGAGCAACAGCGCGCGCGAAAAATACACAAGTGTATTTTTTTCTAAATAAATAATCACAGACAAATTTTAAAATCGATTTTTTCAAATCTCAAAACATCACGATGAAGAAAGAATTGAAATTTAATTATAATATTATTAATAGAAATATAAATAATTAATAGGGTATACAGTAATGTAATGTAATTGTATATTTATTTCAGCTAACTAGATTACATGTAATTCAACTATAATACGATAGTCATTGTATGTGCGTGAAGGCAACACAATCTTTTTAGAATAATCGAGTTTATCGCTATTTCAAGATAATAAGTTTAATTTTTGATAATTCTGCTTAAAATAATAAGGTCAGGTTGATGTGCCGCATGCTGTAAAATGTTTCCGATATGTCACATTTTACAAATAAAAATAAGTAACGCTTAAAAATGAGTTATACACGTGTGCTTTCGTATCGCATCTATAACCCGGAGGTCAGTCAGAAGTCGATTACCATTGATTTAATCTAGAGGTCAGGCAGTATTTTCGCGCTATATGCAATGTTAATGATTACTCCATCCTTTAGCATCTATAAACAAATATTGCGATCAAGATTCAACGTACAGGTGAACTGTATCGTATCTTTTATAGCTGACGAGAGATAAAGACACTATTACCTTGATTTTGTCAAAAGGTTTTTGCTGCAAGGAGAATTTTGACAAAATACGTCTGTTAGCATCTAGACATTTGTCATTCTCTTCTATTTTCAATTATTTTTATATTTAAAATTTCACACGTATCGATTTTATATTTTTCAACAAAGTGTATCATCACATAAATACCCCGCCTAGAAATAATAATGATTTTTTATAAGTTTACAATAAAGTGAAACAAAACATTGTTCGCTTAATGATGTCGCCTAAAATAAAAATGTATTAAAAAAATTATAATTTTGCTATTATTTTATTTTATTATTAACTTAATAATTATGTATATGTTGTATGAATATCATTTTCTGCGGATTATCAAAAAATACATTAGCTATTATTTTTTAAATATCAACAAAAAATAAACAACATACAGCACACAAGGGTTTGTTTTTTTTTTTTTAAATAAATAATCACGAAAATATTTGTCGCATAAGAATATAAAGTTAGAGCATGCACATGTCGTCCGCATATCTACTGGAATCACATAGGAAACCGATATATAATAGCGTCGATATCGAGTCGGTTTCCCGTCGCGAATTACTAGCCACGCGCACCGGCAATCAATTGCACGTCGTATAATTATCGTTTGTCCGGAGTTTGTAATAACTGATTAGACCCAAGGCCTTTCTCCTAGGTCTCCTCCGTTGCGCGCGCGCAAATCTCGAGGATGCCACTGAAGGCAACCGGGAGCGCGCAATCCCGCTGCGCGATCACCATCGGCAATTTAACAGAGTAAGTAACGGATAATTGAGCGCCAGCTTTTAATTTGCACGTGATCGCGTACCGGTGCACGTGCACCCAGCACGTGTGCGGCCACGGATGTAAGAGGGTCGGCTCGCGACGCACGTGAGAGAGGCTCGGCGCCGCGGTGCACGTGTACCCCGTGGAAAACGCACACCACGACGCGATTTGAATGCTTCTACAGGAAGCAATGCGTGCGCGCGTAGTGCACAACTTGGTCCGATAATCCCGATAATGGAAAATTAACCATCCGCATAACACGCGATCGGCATCATGAGACGTTCTCTCTTCTTGCATCCTTGCAGTCCTGTTGACAAGACTAACTAAGAATCGCTGCGATTCCGATTATGCATTTTGGCGATACGATTTAAGAATTGTCTTTAACTATTCCTTTCTAAGAAGCAAGATAAATATTCCTAGAACACGATATAGCTATTAGTTTTCAACTTATGTGAGCATTATGAAATATATACAGAGAGTAAATAAACTTCTCCAACCAAAAATATTTCTGTCACTTAAATTATAAAATAAAGATATTAAATTGTAAATTGTGACGAATCAAACCTAAATAAAAATATGTATATTTTACAAAATTTTGATAAATATTATAGCCAAGCTATTTAAACAAATAACTTGATTAAATCCTTCTCTTGTCAAATTCATGTAAATATATCAAAAATAATAAGTATCAAGAAGGAGGGCGAAAAAAATTAGCAAAATTCTTACGCAGAATAATATACAGTTTGCTAACACATTATCTTTATAATTTGTTTTTATGATCTACTTTGTTTTTATAACTAGTGTCGGTATTTAAGAATTACTGCTACCTCAATGCGAAGTGACATTCCGCAAAAACGTTAATAAATAGTACCAATAATTTATGAGAAAGTTTAGTTTAATAATTCTTATAAATATTAAATATATTTCTATTAATTTTTTATAATATAGATTAGATAAATATACTGAATTTAATAATTTAATTTTTTTATTATTATTAACAATGACTTTTCATTATTATCATTGTTTTATCAGCACTTCAAATACCTTTGAATTATATTACGCCAAAGTAATCGATATGTTCTCTAAGATTTGTTATCAAATGATATTGAAGTTGTAATAACACGAATTAAATATTTTTCTTGGCTGGTGTTTTGGGAGGAAATACATGAAACTCGAATAGAAGAACTCAGTGGAGAGATTTCATCTACTTTTTCAAAAATTTATATAAATAATTAAACAAAGAGATTATTATAATTCTAAGATTATATTAAATGTAAATTAAAACTTTTGAAGCTTTTAACTTATTATAAAAAAGTATTGCATTAATTTTTTAATTGCATTTAAAATCATGAATCTTGTTAACATATTAACTGAAATTTTGTGTTACTAAATTTTTCTAACTTGAACGACTAATCCTACTAAAATAAATTTTTTTTTTTTAATTTTGCATATAGATAATATGTATATTTGCAGTTAGATATGTGAAATTTTAATTCTTTTCCATCGCTAATAATACAAGAAATCTATTATTGACTTCGCACACATCTTTTTATCAAAAAATTATCATTATAATTTTTGCGACAAGAAAGGTCATTCTGTTTGTTAAACATACCTATTACCAAACACTCATGACAGGACATCCATAAATTAAGTAACTATATAATCTCTTGTTACACATCATTTATGCGATTGAAGAGCATATCAAAATATAATGTTTAAACTAATTGCTTCAAACAAAAAATACGGATAAAATATGTCGTATGAGTTGCGCAAATGAATCGTTTATGAGATAAGATTACCTAATGAAGAGATGTGTGATATGAAAGAAAATCGGTGACTTTGGTCATATAGGAGAAGTGACAAAGAGAGAGACAGGGAGAATCAAAACATAAAACAAATAGATTGGTTAACCCAGAGAGGCATGTGGACTCATCGACCTATTCACAAGATCCATAATCACATTCTTAAGTCATAGGCTCTTCGTATTTTAATTCTTTTAGTTTCTTTCTTTTAACTTCAAAGCCACTCTTTAGTTAAAGTCACTCTTTAATGGCTTTAACTGTAGCTAATATCTTCCGTTTTTATTTGCAACGCCATTTTATTTTTTCTTTTGCCTATTTTTTAATCTTACTAAATTTTATGCAGATCTTACAGTTTAATGTTCACATGTTATTGATACAAAATATTATGTATATATTTCTGAATAGTATGAGAAATGATCAATCACATGTTACATGTCTTTATAAATTGAATGAAAGTTTTATGTGTGTATAAAATTTATTTTATGTTATAATTCCTTTTTTGTATTATTTTCTGTAATTGTTTAACAACATTTAAAGATAGAAAATGTATCTTTATTTTTTATATATTTATACAATCTAATAATTATATAAATAACTATAAATAGTTTTAAATTTTTACTATAGCAAATAGAAAAATAATTAGAACAAAATTATTCTTTCTAAAAAACAAAATTTTTCTACATGTTGAGATTATTGTCACATTCAAGAAAAACTTTTTGCGTCCATAACTAATCATCGCGTACGTACGGCAATTTAATGCATAAATGCATACATAGTGATCTTTCCATAGGGGCACGCAAAAGCGCGAAAATAGAATTACTTTATCATCAAATTAATATCTTATAAAAAAAAAATTAAGATACATCTAATTAAAATTTAATGTATTCCACAATCTAATGTAATATTAATTTAATTATATTGGATATCCCCGCGTAAATAACAGGATTCTCTTCAATTAGAACATCTAAACATCAAAATAGAATTTGTATCTTGTATTTTTCGCTTTAAACGGATAAATGATCAAAAATAACTATCGCTATTTATTATTTACTTGGACAGATAACATATCAAGTGATTCAGATGTTGTGTAATCTATGTGACCTATGTATATACTACTAAATTTGATCATCTAATTCCATATATATATTTATATATATATATATATACGAAAAGATTATGTTACGTCAATCTTAAGATCATACGATTATATAATAAGAATATGTGAAAATCTGTTTAAAAAAATATCTGATGAAATAGAGTAATTAAATTTCTATTTACAAATTAAATAATATTTAAATAGTCTCAACTATTCATCTTAATCATCTCATCGTGTTGTAATACGTTGTGCTTGTAAAAATACGTTTGTTTTCTTCTTTTTATATATTGTAATCGCGTTACGAATATACATAAAGAAGCGAGTAATTAATATCTTACTCTACGTTGCTCTGCGGCAAATGTTTACGACGGGAAGCCGCATACGGCGGCTACAATTAATTCGAGTCGAGTTAAGGCGCAAAGAGTACATACCTGGCAACGAACCAAGATGTTATATTGCAAACACGCGTATACACAAAGTTATCCGGATTTTCATCCAACGAACAAATCGAGTTACCGTATAGCGGACCGGTGGACAACGGCCTCATTTGCCGTAGCTACCTCTTTCTCTCCCGGTTAAACTGCCCCAACAATGCCCAACACCCGACAGTAATAGCGCAATAATGCCGTAGCTAAACTGTACGATATAAAAAGAAACTAAGTCAACAGCTGGCTTGGCTTACAGTCAAATGGCACCTGCACTATATTCTTGAATATATATCGAACTTTATTCCTGTCGACGGCACTTATTAATCTTTGATGAATTACGTTGATTTTTTTTTCAGTGAGGGGGAAAGTAGCAAGGAAAGTATAAATTGATCTACAGACATTACTTTATTGCTATCGATGATATCGACTGTTAAAATATCAAGGAACAATCGTCAACTTTTCAAAAATTCTTTACTTCAACGAAAGGTGACAGTTCTGCCATTCTATTCTCTCTCTCTTTCTTAAACGAAGAAAGTATAATTAATTCATAATGATTGAAATAAAATCAATATTAATAATATCTATACAAAGTTTCTGTACTTATGGATTTTCTTTGAAATAAGATCAAATAGCACGAAAACAGAGAGTCGTCTTTAGATAAGACCAATGAATAAATTTTGACGTATATTATGTATTAAGACCAGACACGCGCGCGAAAGAAAAATAAATTTCGGAGCGCTTTCTACTGGAAAGAAAATTTTCTTCGGTATTTAGAGAAATTCGACTTTAATAAATTCGCGTCGTCTGCTCGTGTAAATTATACGAGCCCACGCAAGCGAAGCGCGCGGAATTATTCGCCGTTAGTTCGGCGCCGGCTTCTACAGGGTCGCCCAAACGGAAGCGTGCATTATATGTAAGTTATCCACTTCGGTGAAATACTGGCCATTAACGCGACATAAATTATAAATATGTAGAGCATGAAATAAATCATAAACATGTGGAGCACGATAAAAAAGATAAAGAAGATTGCTCCAAACAAAATGACAGTGCTCTCTTATCGTTGCTCTCAACTGAACATTTTTTTAATTCTATCGTAATTATACAAATTAATTTTAGAGTACTTTTGTCTCTTTTATGAAGATATCGCAGAAAAAAATAATATGTTTAAATTTATCTTTCTCTCTTTTATTTAATTCACATGATTTATAGTAAATCTATAAAAAGAAAAGAGAGGGAGAAGTAACACACTAGAAAAATATTACATACATATCTTTCACATATAACTAATTTTACGAAATATTATGTATTTTTTATGTTTATATAAGAAATAAGATCAGATTATATTTATATTATATTTATATTATATTATATTATATTTATATAATAAATTAATCTCTTATGTAAATAAATTATTCTTTCCGAGATATATAAACGATTGAATGTGTAACTGAACGAAATAATTAATTAATTAAGTTAAAAATTATATTTCAGCAAAAATAAATCAAGAAATAGAGAAAATAATAGGTTTATTTATTTCACAACATTAATCTATTCCGTTCCTTTCTACAGAAATCTGTGTATTTTTAATGTTGCGCTAAATTTGAGATAACCTGTAAAACTCGACTCTTAGAACTTTACTTCCTGAACATTCGTTACGAATGGCCGAGTGTCCGACTGATCGTACCGAGTACCGAGTGAAGAGGACATTATGCTGAAACAATCGGGCTTTTATATGCAGAATTTTATAGAATCAATAAAGAACCATATAACATGAATCTCTCTTTTTTACGTGTACTACTTAAATTATTATAGTATATATAGCAATGGTTTACTTAGATACAATTTTGTGTGAATTTAAAGATATATATCGAAATATTTATTTAGACAAAGATTTATAATATAAGTTATTTATGTATAATTATTAAGATTAAATAAGAATGGTAAAGAAACCTTGACGATTTAAATCTATGTCATTCTATCTTAATAATTTATCGAGATATTATTAAATAATTAATTCATTGTATCATGTTATTTTGTTTTAATAATTAATTAATAACTATAATTAATAATTTCAATTTATATTATATTATAATATATAATAATTTCTCTACAATTATCATAAAGATTGAATAAAATATGTATAGGATGATATGAAACATTTTTGTAACAATTATTTTATTACACTATTTTCACAAATAAAATTTTCAATAATCATGATAATAATTACAAAAATTTAGTAAGACTATATAGCGTACTTAAAGTATTGATAAGCAAAACAATCGAATTATAAATGAGAGATAAATTTAAACATATCTTCTTTTCTTTTACAATTTCTGCATAAAATTTGTGAAAGTATTTTAAAATTTTAATTTGTGTTATTTAAGTCATCAATATTAGCAAAAATGATACGTGACAAATAATTAACTTTACTTTATAGTATAAATGTTATGTTGGACAGAACTTTGTAAAAAGATAGATATTTAATAATCAACTGAATACACGAGATAAATTTGATTCAAATTTAAATTAAATTCATAATTAAATCAGGTAAATTTGCGAATATTTTGAAAATCAAGTTCATGAGTTTCTTTCTCGAGAGCCCGGCGAGAGATGAGTCGCCAGCAATTCTTGTCTCGCCTCGTACAGCCAAGTCGTTGGATCGACTTCGTATATCCGCGAGGCTCACCTAGTCATTTGGTGCGAGCACTCGGTCGCGGACGTGTTCGAGTTCACTCTGTCTCGTGTTCAGCAAACAGGTTCAGGAGCGATCGAATTGTGAGACCGGCGTTTCGATATGCGTAACACGATGGACATCCGAGCGCAGGTGAGCCTCCTGAGACTCTGTCTCTTTCTATATCGCGTCCTATACAATGGAAAAGATTCGAGTCGACGCGTGTCGTCGAAGCCGACATGTGGACGGTGATGTAATCGATGACGTTTCACAAACAAATTTTTAGAATAAATCATATTTCAAGAAATTTGTTTAATAAATGATAAGGAAGGCGGTATAGCGGAATATGATTTGATTGCTTTAAACATATATCGTTTATTGTTATAATACTTATGAAGAAATGTGTATGTATGACTTTGTATAATTGGAGCGTTCTTAAAGTTATGTTAATATGTATTTTTTTATCTTTTTAGAATCATGATAATAATAAAAAATACATATATGCGAAATATATAACTTCCTGTGTTGTTTGGTACGATATAATAATAATCTATGAATATTTTTATTGTTGTATTGTATATTAAAATTAGATATATTTTATTTATTTATATTATAAATATAGAATTTATATATTTATATATATATTTTTTT